TTGTTTGTAATGTTTATTACTGTATTTGTGCACTTTTACCATCGTTGTGTCCTGTACTTTTCTGTCCATCACTTCCCACTTTTAGCATCACCCTTCAGCTGACACACTGCCACAAAGTGACTGACCTGTCATATTATGGAAGGGTGACAGCTCTTTCAGTCACTGCCTGAGAAAATGACTATTTAAGCAGGAAGAAACCAAAATGAATCTGCTAAGGGACAAGTAAGGGTTTATTCCATGTTGAAAAGAAACACATTTCGGCTGTGGAGCCTTCTTCGGGTGTGAGGAAAGTCAACAGCTGATAAAGCTTGGGAGAACAAAATCCAGGAGTGGGGAGGAGTTGGGAGCAGGCGAGAAGCAGAGTGGGCACTCGGGTGGTGTGAAGGGAAAAGGCTCTGTTAAAATATGCAGTAGTAGATTCACAAAACAGAAGATTTGCCTTATATTCAGCCAGCTGGCACAGTCAAATGTATGGGGCGAGGAGTGGGCTTAAGGAAGCCCGACAGAACAACCCTCCACAAAATGATGATGCGTCTTACAAAAGCTTCTTGAGATTCGTCACAAAATATTACAAGGGAGCCAGGGGCTCTTTATATACTATCTCAGCACAAGGACGCCATTAAACCAGCATACAGCTATGACCATGACAGTGACGTCTTTGCATTTGGGAAACAGACACGGGCATTTACAATGACAGAGCACATTGTGACAGTCCCACCCTCGGCTGGGACAGTCCCATGGATCTGATGGCGACAAAAAAAAATCACATTGGCTCTGCAAGCAAAGTGCAAGCAGCTTTGTTGTAAAGTTCTTGCAGGTTTTCCAACAAAAAGAATCACAAGCTTCCCTCTCTTTATTGCTACCACAGACTTTACAGCCATTAAGCAAGCCCTTTATACACCAAACCCAACATTAATTACCCCCACTTGAAAATACGCATTTCTCCACTATATAATATAATGGTCTAATCATCTTCTAGTGAGACTATCTGCAATAGTTAGAGGCCTTTTAGCTGCCTCTAGTGACAGGTTAGAAGCTACTGAAGTCATTTTACTGGCCAGCCTGCCAAACACATTGTTAGACCAGAGCCTACAGAGCTGAAAACCCATGAGGCAGGTGTACTGGAGCTGTGTTGGGTACATCACAAAAGCCTAGACCTGTGAGTTACCATTTTGATGTATTCTTTGTATATTGCACAAGAGTTACTGTAACTATTAATCAGTTAACAAATAAATAGCTACACAACTCCCTTTGACTCTGCAATAGGGAAAACAGAAAACCTAAAAGCAATTAGAAATAAGTCATAAATTAATCTTTCCCATTGAGGTGTGGACCATTACAAAAACAAAGACAGAGACTCATACAGACACCTGGACCAGTCACACAGGAGCCTTACAGCAGAAGATATGTAGCTTTGCCTTGCATCTATTATACTTATGACGGGGTGATTTATGTTTCGCTGACATCATATTAGCACCGTGCTACTGTACAGCCCATTAGCTGGATGTGGCTAGCCCATTAATATCACAATGAATAAGTCAACCTTTCATAAATTCTGATTGAGAAAACATGTGTCTTGTGTCTGACCTGAACGATGGCTTAATGAGTTCATAAATAACATATTGAAAAGTGCCCTGTACGATCTTCCAGATCATCACTCTTAGTGCAGGCACATCACCCTCAACTAGGCTGAGCAACAAAAACAAACAGTCCAGTGAAAAATAAATGCTCCAGTACAGATAACAAATATATACACTACATAACAGTTAGTTACAGGTCTGTTTCAAAACTTTTATAGGTTTTATAGGTGCTGCCTTAAACAACATTACTTAAGCATCACAGTAGATCATCACACTACACTCTTCTTATACTTATTGTCTTATCATTGGTTATCTGATCAAGACATATACTTCCTGCATAAAAGAAATCATAGAGGATTCCTAAAGCACATAGCACTGTGCAGGTCAGGGCCCCATTAGGAAAAACCTAAATGCAAAGAAGCTACATAACATAAGAAAGGTTTTACCCCAAAAAGATGGATCCTGTTAAAATCTTGCTGTTACGAGAGACGTTTGAAGGAAAACTTGGTAGATAGTGACACTGACATTAACAGAGGTCGTCTCCTTCTTGGTCTTAATGATCCTGGGGCCAGTTAATTCTCATGTCACCTGAGTTCTCTGCTGCTTATCTCAACCAACAGTATATAACAGTGGCAAATTAGAGCTATTTGTAATGTTTTGAGGTTCCACAGTGCTGTAAATTTTAGGTTCCTTATAAAAGTGAAGATTAAGTAGATTAGATACTTAATTGAAAGTAGACTGAACCACCCTAGCATGAGAAGACCTGAAAACAATTATAGAAATCAGAGTGATGAAGTTATTAGTGCATTTTAAGTATATTAGGACTTCGCTAGAACACTGGGGTCATACAGACAGGTACTTTGAAACTCTGTGGTGAGTCTTACAAAAGATATTGGCTGATTGGCTTAGGTAGTCTCCTAACATGATGCTGACAGAACCCCACCCTGAATCTGAAATTGACACTGCTCCCAAGTGAGACACTAGCCATTCCCTTGTAAATAGGTTCCATGATAGATGCAGAGATTGAAACATCCGGAAGGCCAGTCTAATTTAATCTCTCCATCAATGACACCACTCTCCCTGTGTTACCATAGCTAAATGAGATCCTTATGTTAAGTGGGAAACTAGAAGCCTAGTGGGATGGTACACAGGGATTGGCAGCTAGCAATGCTGCCTCACAGCTCCCCGGTCCGATTGTTGATTCAGGACTGGGGTGCTTTCTGTGTGGAGTCCAGATGTTCACAAGGGTTTTTTTCTGGGTACTCCAGTTTAGTCCCAACGTCAAAATACATGCTGGATAGTTTAACTAAAGTCTCTAAATTGTGTGTGTGCCTTGTGATGCTCTAGCTTCCTGCCCAGGATATAATCCAGCCTTAAGACCTATGCTTCAAGGACAGGCTCTAGGTTTCTAATGAAGAATAGGTGGCCAAGAAGTCTGGTTTTTAACCCCAGACATGATCCTGAGTCCCTTTCAATGTTTGAAACAAATATACTGGCATTCACAAGACGGAATGCTGTACAATTTACTGGGATAAGGTTGAACAATAGGACTACAACTGCACCTTATCTGGTGTCATCTCTGAAGGTTTCTGCATGACTCACTAAATACGTGCCCTTCATCCTCTCATATTCCCCTAACAGCAGGGGCTCCCCTGTGTCAGAAACCTTTTAAAATCAATTTTAAAGTCAGTTTCTACACAGACTTTGACACTTCTGCCAATTCTCCCTTAAAAAGGTAAAAAACGGATACATTTGAACAGGTTCTGCCAATTGCTCCTAAAAATCCATTTGTTACACCTCTGCCTTAAGCCAAGCTCAATTTGTTATCCACCTCTGAGCTAAACTGCACGAACACAGATGTCTCACAATAGCGCCGCACACTACAGTATCTCTACTGAAAAGAAGAAGGAATAAAACTTTCCTTTTGAATTTATTACGTTACTCACACTAATGAAGGACAAATTGAGAAGGCAGGGTTTCTTAATGAGCTGCATGATTAAAGCTGGAGCTTTAAGTTATTTTGTTTTTGGTGTTGATAAGGTCTTCACCTCACCTCGAGCGAAAGAGCAAAGACATCTCTAGTGTCTCGTGTCCCCCTCTACCCATTAAAGTACAGGGGTGATCCTGTAGAGATATGTACATCTTACACAACAGCTTCTTGTTCGACTGCAGCACAGAGAGCAAGGCAGACCAAGGCAGTTTTGGACCAGAAGAGTTCAGGAAGCTCACGCACTTGGCTAGATCCCCATTCAGGCATGCAGGGTGAAGACCAAAGAGCAGGAAATCTCCACTGCTCTTCCCCTGCCTCTCACACGAGAGCAATGTGGGCATCTGCTGGTATCTCAGTGCTCAGCTCTTCGCCGATCTGCTTGGACTTTGTTGGTAGAGAAAAAAGGAAAAGAAAAACTAACTTAAAACGTCAGTAGTGATAGATCTGGATCCTGTACTTCACTCCTGTCTGTAAAGGCCTAGGTTAGGAAAGTAACAGCCCTGCAAGAGGCCAGCCGGAAAGAGAGTCAGGCTAGTGGTAGGGAGAGGTGATTGCAGCCAATAACACCAGTATCTCCAAGGACAGATCACAGGTTTATTGCAGCAGTGGTCTAAATGGGGTTCCTTTTTAATAAAAAAACACCCATCACGATAATGCTGTGCCTTCCATCATTCGGTAATAAAACACATGTGAAATGGATTACAATAGGGACTGCAGACATTGTAGAAGCCTTTAACTCTTCGTAATTCTCAGTTCCTACATCATTAAATAATTTGGTGGAGGTGTCCTGAGATCTAATTCTGCACTTGTGAAATAGAGATATTAATAACCACAAAATTAATGGTTTTATAAGATAAGCTGTGAAGACGGAACCGAGAGCATGTGAAACCTTGTAAGGAAAACAGTATCTGCGAACATACAGTGTAAGGTTCAATAATTTCACAAGAATCGTGTTATTATTTTAAAAAATCAAGAGTTGGCTACGTTAACAATGGACAGTAGCCTGAAATATTTTAATAAGTAATAGTGATAAACTGAATGCAACCACCTGCTTCCCAAAATGACCTTTGAAAGAGTACCCTTGAAAAGCTTAACGCATTCGAATCCCCATTAATTTTCACTTGTGGGCGACAGGACACGCCGCGGGCAAACAAGCCATGAAAGTCCCATCTTTCCCGGCCGGACAATGGGAGGGAAGGCGCGCCGCCCAGCCTCGCACCAGCCGGCAGAAGAGGCTCTGGGAAAACGATCAGGTGGCGCTTCCGGTCCGCTGTTGTCCTCCAGCTTCTCACGCCGCGCGGTGATTCACTCCCTGCCGGTAGGGGGGGCGTTCTGCCGTGTAAAGGGAGGAGCTCATCGGACTGCTTCTTTAGCATCCTTGAGTATAAATAGAGGCGGATCCAGTGGACGATCAGAATAGAGCTAGGTGACTGCCTAGGGTTTTAAGAACATTGAGAACCTACAGACGACTTTTTTTAAATTTATTTTGCAACAAAACTAGATCTAAAAGATTTCCCTTTTTTTAATCGTTTTTTTTTAATTAACGTAATCGTTACAATTATTTTTGCTGAAGCTGCCCCCTTCTTCCCGACGAGACATGGACAGTTTAAAACTTCTGGTCTTGGCGGTGGTCCTGGTTGCGCACGTGTACTGCGATCAAGACTCGGCGGCTCCCAGCGAGAACCGGGAGCTCTGGTCCTCGGAGGGCTGGCAGGTAAGACTCTTCTCCGGGCAGAACTAACACCGCCGATCCATTCAGAGCTGCTACTGTCCGCTTAGATACGAAAAGCGCCTTCCCGCGGTAGATCGAGACTGGAGGAGAAAGGCGTGAACGGACCGAGGCCAGCAGACTGAATTTTGACCACTTTAACTCAAGCTAAACGCTTCGTTCGCCCATTGCGTGTTTCGATGGCTTAGCCAAGCGCGCAAAACGCAGTTAAAAACGTGCAGACATATTCACAGTTTATTTTAAGAATTTCCATTCTTTGCTTGTTATGCCGGATATATTTCGAACACGCCTGCTTCGAGATAGGGGGGTTAACTCTTTGCGGGTCTCCCCAGTATCTGCGGTCTATTAGGGTCTGAGTTCTCCGATGGCTTTTATTTGAATACACTGCAATAGGTGCAGATGAAATCGAAACATTACCGTTTAAATCCTGATGCTCAAACAGTGAGCGATGCCGAAACATAGATGATACAGCAGCCGACACGTTTGTTCAAAGGACACTGCTCCGGGCAGCACTGGCGTAGAGTTGAACAACTTTTCAGCACCGCGGACAGCGCCTGCTCAGCCCCCTGCGGTTTCCCTCCGCCGCTAATCAAGTTTTCAAAGACCAGTGCAAGCAAAACACCTGCAGAAGGCTCCACGGCCAAAACGTTGTATTTTCCTCCTTCTCTTTTCAGCCTGGAATGCACCTATAGTATTACACTTCCTTTGCAGCCTACGCATGCAAACGCAGCTACCCACCAGAAATAAAATGTATATACTTAATTAAGGCTGCCAGGTATCCAATACTTCCTGGTACTCTCCATTTTTGAACAAACAGCATTTATATTTGCAGAACCTGATTAAACGCATTAAGATATCTGAATTATTGTCAATTGTTTTATTGCTTCTGTATTGACGGAGACAAATATCGCGTTTTTGCTGTGAAATTCAAACAGAACAATTTAAAAAAGACTTAAAGGATTAAAAACACGATGTCAAACAAAAATATTGTAGGAATGATATTTGCTAATTGGGTAAAAAGTAACAACTAAAAGTGAAAGGCCGATCGCGTATTGGAGTATGAGAGCGGACCGTACAACATCGTTGAAATATTTTCCCACATTTCAACGATCAACAGTACTTCGCTTGTCTTTCCAGGACGAACCTTCGGAGAACAGTCTGGCGAACCGGGTAGCGGAGATAATAAAGAGATCCAAATCGCACCAGTTCTACGGACTCATGGGGAGACGCTCAGGTAAGAACCGGATTTTTATTCCGATTTAACACGGGAAATCCCTACGCAAGACGGTAGGAGAGGAGGAGCTGGGATACAACAGATTAGTGGGCTTGTAGTCATACTGTATATAGTCGCCTTCAAAATCAATGCATTCGAATCAGAGTCGCTATAGCAGTGACAATGCTTCACAGATCACTGTGTACCGATTTTGATCTGTGCTAGCATCCCACCAAAGTCGCTAGCACTAGTAGCAATTTTGGTTTCCCACCAGCACTTTGGAAACGTCCTGCAAATATCGCTGAAATCATGTTCCCACAGACCGATTTCCTGTACAGAGAATCCGATTGATCCTGTTTCGGAGTTCTAATGAAACTGTGTTTCACACTCCTTGGTTACCTCTTGATAACGATCAACCAAACGTGTTTTAACCAGTAAAGTGTAAATTGTTGGATCTGACGTAGACTGAAGTGGGCTTTAGGGTATTATTGTGCAGTTACATATGGTATACCATGTAATACGTTGTTCACTGTGTTAGAGTAATTAGTAAGATCTCTCTGTGAAGGGATTGTGACCGCAGAAAGACTGCTAATGGTCAATTGCTTGAGAAATGAACTGCAACCTGCCAGCAGTTGGGAACAATGTCATGTGCGTGCTAATAAATCCTTCAATCTACAGTTCTATTGTGGAATCTTGAAAATTGTCTCTTAAAATAAAATAAAACATGGATTAGTCATTGGACATGACATCACGCTGGGTATTATTTAGCTTGGTTTTTTTTCTTCATCTTTACTTGATGAATAAGTTGCCAAGAGAATAATCGGTTAATTAGACTAATCTTATTACAGCATCCATATCCGGATAGATCAATCTGGAGAATATTAAACTTAATCTTGCTTTTCTTTAATCTTGTTTCTTTTTTGTATTTAAATGCAAAAAAGTAATATTCATGTCTAGGAAAATGACTTGTCAGTTATAAGGGAACTGTACTGCACAGATCATCGTGCTCACTTCAGAGCACCATGTCTAAATTGATCATTCTTAACACATGGGAATAGAATAACATGAACATCACTGAGCATCACCAACATCGCCAAAATACAATTGACAAACACCAGCAGCTGTCTGGTTTATTAGCAGCATCCTGATATAACTCAATAGAATATTAACTCATGCAAGTTAACAAAACAAGTAAAGAAATACCTACAGTAGGATCCACATACTCATTGAGTTTTAATCTGGCAAGTATTTCTTTCTGCTTTATTAAGTTCTGTTTCCTACCCCATCTAATTAGGAATGAGACAGATGGGTTGAATGATCTCTGTTTCTTATGTTCTGAAACGCAGGTCTGATAGGACCCCAGTTTTGATAAATGAAGTGATTTTTTTTTTGTCTCGGTAATTCCCAGGGAAATATATTTCCATGTCTCTGTGACACATCACAACAACGTTGGAGAAAAGTGTACCTTACTCTTTGGTGTGCTAAAAAATACTACACTGATTAATCCATCAATGGCTCAGAGTCTTTTAACACTTCACAAAGCAGGGATAACAGCAGAATTCAGGGTGGAAGTGAATGAAAGTTAAGATTAGCTGTCAGGTACTTTGTAACAGAATACCATTTTCCAGACCCTCTGTGGGTTTGTCTTCAGTGAAGCAGAGTAATCACACACCGCTGAACAGTGACAACATGCTTCAGACCAGACTGCACTAACTGTATTCTACATCGTACATGATGATGATGTTTTCATGATACATCAGTGTATGATGTTTTTTTTTATTATAACAAAATTGTCAAAAAGCAAAAAAAAACAACAACAAAGTTAAAATGACTGAAACTCCCTTCCCATGGCAACACGCAGATCCGAGAGCAGAGAAACACACTGCACAAAACACTGTCACAACAAAATGCCAGCTTGTAATTTAACAAAGACATTCTGGGACAAATCGCCAGGAAAGATTTCCTTCTGCTTCGAGAATTGACTAATGTACCTCGCGAAATATAAATTAACAACCAACCCATTACCACACCATTGACTTTGACAAGAACCACCATACCTAAAATCAATACATTCTAAAAAATATTTAGAATTCCTTCAACAATCCCGGCAGATAAGTATTCATTCCCTGTCCCCACCCACTAGGTAAGTTTCATATCTAGAAACCTAGCATGTGTATATATACTGTATATATGAATAGGAACGCGTTCCCATAGCATCAAGAGCAAGCAGCGCTCTGTGAATTATGGGAAACATACATTAGTTCATGCAGCTACACAACGCTAAGGACGCTGCGGTAGGTGAAGATATATATCTAGTACAGAAAGTCAAAGTTAACAGCCAAGGACAGGTGTTTTGCTCTTATTTGGGGCTTATCTGTGGGATATGTCTAACTTTACGACTTCCCAACGCTATAAGATATTTAACCACATAGAGGTCACACACGTATTAAACTGGTGCTCGTCAGTAAAAAAAACATTGCGACAGTCTTACCTCATTTAGAGCCTGAAAAGCAGTCGTTTTCTCCTACAAAGGCGTCCAGTGTTATTTCAGTATATTGTTGATACCCGATATTTTGCCGCTATCCGTGCCTGCTACTTACAGCCGCCGCTGGGATAAAAAGTTTCCGAATTACTTTTTCTATAGAAAATGAACGTCCAGGTAAATGTACGTGTGTCCCCTCATTATCTTTCTCTCTTTCAGGGGTTCAGCAACCGGTTCCACTGGGCCGAAAAAGTAAGTCTCAGAAAAAACTTCAACAAAATAGTTTTTTTAGGGTAATCGCCTCAAAGTGCACTTCCGGTCCGACTTCCGTTTCGTGTAACTATGACAACCCTCCAGGGGAGTTCGCCGCAGTACAGTTAAATACCGCATCCGGACACAATAGGATAAAAAAAAGATCAATTGTGTCTCTTTTCAGGAGTGAATATAACTTCTGTGACTTAGACACATATCCGTATTTAGAAAGATGTAATTAAAGTGGTTTGTAACTGTAGGTTTGGTCTGATTTTCGTCATTGTGCCAGGTATATTATGCCCTACATTGGTCAAGAGGTGGTGCTGTAATCGTCGATCCTCTAACAGACTGTTAACGTACGTTAAACGTTTTTCTAGCAGTAAAGTGAGTTATGAGCTTTCACAACGGATTTACTTGCTTGTTTAGCCCAACATACCACCTAATTCTGTGACATTTCCTCAGTACAGTAGGTACACATCAGCAGATGTGTGGAATCTGTTTCTGTCTTCTAAATGTTCTTGGTTTCATTGTAAATATAACTGAAGCAGATTTTACAATGATTGTGAAGTTTACAATACACGATAAAAATAGATTATGTCTTTGATTAATGAGTGGTGTTCAGAAGGCTTATATACAGCGTGAACAAAAACAAGCAAATATTACCACCCAATGTACCAAAACGTTTACTTTTCTGGTGAGTTTGATGTATAATTTAAGCCCCGTCTACACTTCATGTCCCGATTTTGATAACCATCATCAAAAACGTTTTTAATTAGTCGTGAGAACATAATAAAGATTTCAATCAAGGCCATCTCGGTGCGTTCATACTGCAGTATCGTTTTTTTTTTGTTGGGTCTGAGAATTACCAATAAAAATATAATAATAAAAACAGTTCGGTTTAGTAAAGCAATCGGGAAATAAGGCTCCATTCACACTAACTTCACATTTTTATATCCACGTCATTCAGGACATATGACAGGAGAACGCACAGCTCTTCTTAAAATGAAGACTTAGGGTTTCGAACTTTAAAGACATATTAAGATAAAGACTAGCTTTACAAAAAGGTTCATGCCTGAAATGTTCGTTATGAACAGTCAGTATAGCCGAGCACTGTGGGATATTGGAGGATCCACACTGCCTGTCAAACCCCACTGATTGAACCGGCACCATTAGAGCCTGACTGGTGCGGATACAAACCGTCGTCAGCACGTTCAAGCCGGTTGACGATGCAACTAATACGGTTTAAATGCATTGGTAGGTCTGGGACGTAGTGGAGTTTTAATCTCATGTATGTTTTCATTTATGCCCAACAGGACACAGAGGGGAGATGTTTATAGGTCTCATGGGGAGGAGGTCCTCCAGTGGAGGTAGTGTATCAATCCATCAATGCTTCCGTTTGATTGTTTTGTGTTTCTTACCGTTATAATGCCTTCACGTCGCATGTTGTTTGTGTAGTTCATATTCGCGAGTAGTTTCTGAACACCTGAAATGTATTCAAATAGGCTTCATTTTTCACTGATGCGTGCACACACAAATAAATCTGTTGAGAGAGGGGGAAAAAAAAGTACGGACCGGGAGAGGCCATCAGTAGGAAATAAAAAAGTTATATCGAGGGAACGATTTACAATTCGTGCGCACGAACTACACCGTTCCCTCGTTTTCTTTAATTCGTGCGCACGAAATAATGTTGTCTGATACTTTCTTTCGCAGTTGGTCAACAATAAAGCCAATCACTTTTTCTATGTCGCCATCGGTAGAGCCCATTAAACCTGAGAATCCTCTTTAGTTGCCGCTTGCCGACAGTGATGCCCTGTAGTTCAAGAGTAGCCACAATGCCCTCATAGCCCATCCCCAAAGCAAAAAAAAAAAATAACTTAATCAGTTCATCTCTATCCATTACCCTAATTTGCAGCAGTGTCAGAGAGTTAAGCTTTATTGTACAGTAGCGCTCACGGGTTCACGTGGTTATGCGTCCTCGCCTCTGCCGCCTCAGGTCGGCCCCCCACCGCTGGGGACTCGAACCCGGGTCCCCAGCGTCACTCAACAGGGACCAAGCCAGTTGAGCCAAAGGGCAATCTCCCGTCAGCCCGGCGGCTGAGGTCCCTGCTATTCAGGGATAGCCGGCTCGAACAACCTGCAATGGTGGCCGTTTGCGTTACAGTACTAATATAAAGACGCTGTAACGTGTTAAGTAGTGTTTGATAGCGTTGTCGCCAGGAGCCGGGGATAATGCTGGCGTTTTAGAAGCCTTCTATGTGCGCACGACTTCCGCGACACAAAGGAAACGAAGGAAAGACTTAGAAAATGTTATTTCGTGCGCACGAAAGGTAAATCCTTCCCTCGATATAACTCCCCCCCCCCCTCCTGATGGCCCCTCCTGGGCTCCGTAGAAAAGTTTCTAAGAGCATTTTCTACTTTTTGAACTCACTAGAAAACTAGTACTAGAAAACACCTGCATTTGTGAAAAAAATTGTTTACTTTTTTTGTAGAACTGCAAGAGGAACAGGACAGACCTCAGCTTTCTGAAAGAAGACGCAAATAGATACAGCACCACACCTTTGCCTTCTGCAACCCTCCCATTCCTTCTGTTCACTTTAGGGCCCGTGGATCTGCTCTTGTAAGACATTCTACCTGCAGACATCTTAAAAACACATGGCCAAAGCCATTCAGATCACTAATGGAATGTACACGCTGGCCAATTAAAAATCGCGAATGCCACGCCTTCATCACCTTAAGACAAATGGAGACTCCTCTGCTTTTTGACAACATGATGTGTGCTAATACGTCATCTCCCCCTCTTTGACCTTCAGTAGAATAAATCTGCTTTTCCACATGTCGAGACAATAATGCAGTTATACTGTCCATGTAGCGATATTAAGTTCATGCACGCTTTTGCAGTAAGTTTTCACAATGTAATCACATTTCCAATGGCCATCTAGTGTGAGGTCAGTGTAGAATATGGCATAGATTAATTCACTTTGGTTTGGACTCCAAATTAGCAAAACACAGGTGCACTTATTTTAAAGAAGCTGCCACTAGATGTAAGTAAAATCTCCACAGCTGGTAAATTTTAACACTTTTTCTCCATTTTGATTCTAATTTTGAGATAAATACAGTAGGAAGCAACAAAAACTGACCCATCAACTCCACATTTTGTATTTCAAGTTAACACTCAATTTACAAGTTTCCTTTTCCAGCTGTGACACTACTCCCAAATCGACCATCCACTTTATATATCTCCTTTGTACTCTGCACCCAAATGATGTCTTAACAAACAGTTCAATTCTAAAGTTTATATCCATTTAATTGCACTGTTCCATTCATTGTAGTTATCACAAATGTATCTAGCTGATGCTATAAATAAAATGTAGAAACACTTTTAATAAACTCCATGTAACAAAATAAAGACTTGATTAATTTATGCTGGCAGTTCCTTCAGTTCTTTTGTAATTATTTTACATAAAACATGAAACATGATTTTTTGTTTGCAAACATTACCTTAATTAAAGAATGTATAAAAACACAGGGACAGCATATTTTTAAACCAACAGCATATCAGTTGCATTAAAACTGTCAGAAAGGCTCAGATATGTCTGGGTAATGAGGACCATTTGTGTTAAGATAAAGCTACTGAGTATTGTTGGAATATTCCACAAGTTGCATGCTAACCTCAAGAGACTTCAAAACCTGACGAGAGCCTTTTACTTCACGGTTTTTGTGGGGAAAAAAGCCCCTCTCATCTGCAGTTCAGAAGCAATGACACACACATACTGTAGGATCAAGCTGTTATTACATCTAAGAGCAACAGTGCTGTACTGACGCAAATCTGTACCTTTTCATCTGAATGGAAAAGGTTTCAGTGCTTATTACTTAAAAGAAACAAACAGCTTGCACATTTAAGTTTGGTCTTATTTTATTGACGAGACAGCAGGTACAGAAGAAGATACATCACCTGCTCACTGGTGGCATAGAACAGTATCTCAATCTTTCAGCCACAAATGTAAATTCAATGGGCCCATTACAAACCTTTAACCCCACCCCCCACATAATTTAGGCATTAATTTAGCCTAGTTCCAGCTTCAAGAATTTCCAGAGAAGCCAAGCTGTAATATGTAGCTAACCTTAACTGTCACTGACACAATCCAGTCATTGACTGTGGTAAAATACCATGTGACAGACTTGGTGACACATACCAATGGGAAGCTTTGCTTGAAATTCAATTTTTTAGAAATACTTGTTAGAAACGTTTTTTAAACTTTATTTACATTTATGTTTGTTCAAATGCAGACATTTATCTTCCCATTGTATTCATACTGTAAGAAACAAACACAAGACTACCCAAAGTGTATTATAAATAACACTGACAGACTAGAAGATTGGAGCAGGGGAGAGAAAGCATTACACTGTCTAGAAAACAAGCACAATTCACAAAAAAATAATTTAATAAAACATGAAGTCATGTAAGTTGATGTGCTGAAATGCACTCATTATGAGAGTGAAAAATTAAAACACACTAAACAGAGCCATGATAAAATTTGATGGCTTTCTCAAGGCAAGAGATCCAGACTTAAAACTCTGATAACACGTTGCTATCCATTTGATAGTGAACTAGAAGCCAGAGCCCACCTCATGAATTACAACCATTTCAAAGGCAGGTAAACTAGCAGTTTTTTTATTAAACCATTCTGTTCTCACGTTTAAAGTTTAAAGCAGACATTTTCTAAAACGTTCTCTCGATTTCTTTTAGTAGTGAAGGAATCTTCATTCACTTGTACACCTTGAATAAGAAGGCAATTATCACTGTATTAAACTACAAAAATAGTTTTGTATTAAAATAATTTAAAAGGGAACCACAAAAGACATAGTGCACTTTTCAAATTAATTCAAAGTCTTTGCACTGGATTAAGCATGTGCTGTCACAATAAAGTCTTCTGCTTATCCAAGCCTCACTGTAGCTGCACTTAATCTGGGCAAGAGGAATAATCATGTGGAGCTAATGGAAAAAGACTTTGGTAACAGAGACATAAAAAAAATAATCTTTAAATAAACACAAACTGAAGATAGCTTTTTCACCAGTATGTTAATGAAGGTATATTTAGAGCATTTAATTTCGAACAGTGCAAAGCTTTCATTTACTACCATTTAATTTTAGGAATTTATTTTAGATTTCAAGTTACTTTGAAATTATCTGATTACTAGCTAATTATTCAACATACAAAACTGAATGCATGCACTGTAGTATGTAAGTAGTTATGTACTATGGGAAGTTCAGTTAAAATTTTTCAGATAATGGTATGCTCATATTTAGATAGACATATACACAACACTGATGAATTACAACTGGAATGTTCAGTCCTGAACGTGAAAGACCAGACGCTGTTATTCTAATTCTCTTTAAAACACAAGCACCAGCAACAATTTAAGTAGTCCAATTAAGCCAGTACTGAACCGACTGATGTAGGTCATTAAGAGTCAAGTTAGAATGAAAACATGCAGATGCACCACTCTCCCTGGATTAGGGAGGTCAACGTCCAAATTATAACTGCTCCACCCTCACCATGGTATTATAGGGTGTGACAGACAACAGTAATACAAGTTTTCTCTAAGTACATCTTCTCTGGTTTGTCTGTTCCTGACCTCCTCATGCAAAATGTCCCTTACTGACAGGGAAAGATTGAAGGAGTAATCTTCAGTTGCTTGGCATCAACAGTCTTTAATCTTTAATGTTGCCATTCCAGAGTCCTGAAATCCTTTTGTCTCCAGGAGACCAAAAAGGGGCAATTCTGTATCAACAATGTGAATTCACAAGCAATTAACAGTGGTTCTGAGAATTCCTGCTCTTCAAATTATCTCAAAGTCTTTGCACTGGGTAATGTATATGTTTTTTAAATAATAAAAAAAGGTTTATGTTCAGTTATTAAGGGGAGCACAAGCAACATTCCAGATTAGATTAACTGAGTAAAACTTAAATCTGCAAGAAGAGCATCAATTCTCTCTTTTTGTAAATATCTGGACAAGCAGCCTGTATTTTACAGTTTTCTGGACTGTCAAGGAAATGGAAGAACTTAACTTTTTCCCCCTTTAGATTAGCAGGTGAACCATGGCATACAAAAGTACTCAACTGTGGACTGTAATAGGAGTATAGGAAAACTAACATATGATTCTAGATCATTGAGTACTTTTTTCTTGATTTTAAAATGACAAAGAATCAGTTTCAAGGTTAATGTACTGCAATGCGAAACATTCAGCTGATTCCAGTACAAAACCTAATCTTTACTTTTGTTAAGCAAGTTTCTCTTTCAAGCATGATAACCAAAGTTTTAGGCATGTTTTAAATTACAGATCTTCAAAAAGGACGTGTTCAAACATATAAATTTAAAATAGCTTTTTTAGAAAACCTTTATTTAATTGCCAGTTTTATTGCCAGCAAATAACTGAGCATTAATACACACACACACACGCGCGCACACAGACCTTTCTTCTTGGAAAGTTTCTTGCATGTTTGTCTTGACTCCAGAAAAGTTACAAAGTGTTGTGACCTCACGTGCAACAAAATCTCACACAATCTTGTGCAGTGCTCCTGTAGCACGGCTAAACTTTGCTACTCTGCTTAAGGGCACAATGTGCTGTATAACATCACAAGGGCATAATCAACTACAATTGCAACTGCTTGGTAGTAATTAAGAAGCTTCACTGCCTTCCAGATGGCACTGACCAACAAAACTACTGGCAAGCAGACAGACTCAGACTAGCCCACTCAGATGCATAGTCACAAGCATGGGCAGACTAGGTAAGATAGGCAGCCTCTCACAAGCCAGAAATGTACTGAATCTTTCAAAGCACTTTTTGCGGGAACAGGCCTTCACACAGATGAATGCAAACATTAACAACAAGATGCCGGCATGTCTGAAACCCGACACAGCAGGCATAAAAGCTTCCTTGAAAGGCGTGCAGACCGCTGAAAACAACACGTCTGCATGAAGTGGCGAGCCCGACGGAGAGAATGGCACCAGTCTCTCAACACAGACAGCCAGCCTTTGGCTACGCAGAGCAAGACAAGGACAGTGTTTCTGAAGCCTACAGCCGTGTTTTGACCTGATCACACCTTGTGTCGTAAATGACGAGCATTTCGTAACAGCAAGAGATTGGCGATGGTGGGGTGCCACAGGCAGTGATGGTCAATATAAAACGGAATAAGAAGGATGAAAAATAGAAATACTATTCCACTGCCACCAGTACCTTGGTCCTACTCCCAACAGCAGCAATAGCTCTACATCTAGTACTGACAGGTTTGCTAGCTGATTAATACAGTGTTTTTATTGAGAAGTTCTACTGTGAGCGCTTTATGTTCCTTTGGGAGGCGTCCACTTCAAGGAGCTGGGGTCGATGATTTTGTTGCTGCTGCCTCTTTTGGCCTCCTTGGCTTTCCACTCGTCTATCAGGTCCTGAAATGACACAATATATTAATCCCCCTGTTCAGACGGAAATGACAATTATCTTTGACGTTAACAAATAAAGTTATATAAGATAAGTTATATAAGATCTGTTTATTGGCCATACACAATTTCTTGTATTAGGAATTTGTCTTTTCGCAGACCCCAGCTTGGGGTCAGAGCGCAGGGTCAGCCATTTATAAGGCGCCCCGGGAGCAGTTGGGGTTAAGGGCCTTGCTCAGGGTCCCAACGACTAGGATTCCGTGGGACAACCTGCCAGCCACAGGCACAGATCCTTAGCCACAGAGCCACAGCTCCGCCCAAAGTTAAACTCTAGAATAGTTTGTAAACTCATCAAGTTTGCACATGATGCCAAAACAGGAGGATGAGCAAACATTATAGAAGCATAAAATTCAATTCAATAAGATTGCCCAAGACTGGACAAACACCTGGAAGATGACATGTAACACAGAGAAACACAGAATACTAAATGCATGAAGCAAAACCAAACTATAAATACAAAACGGGAAATACTGAGCTTGAAGAGGTTACTTATGAAAAAGACAGAGGTGATGACATTACTTATATGTACTAGACTATGTGGATGCAACAAAAAGGCTAATAAAATGCTAGGATATATAGCAAAAAGAATAGAATTTACATCACAGAGTGACATCAAGAGAGATAATGCTATAATTGTAGAATTCCCTAGTAAGGCCCTAATTTAGACTACAGTGCACAATTCTGGTCGCCATGTGATGAAAAATGATGGGTCTGTTCTTGAATCACTTCAGAGAACAGCAACTAGATACATTCTTGGGGGGTCAAGGGAATGTCCTACACTTACAGGCTGAAGGAACTAAAATATTTAAGGCCTGAATAGAGAGGACTAAGAGAAGGATCTAATCCCAGTATTCCAGGTAATCCAAATACTCTTTAAGGGACTGATGGAGTCAGTCTAGTGCACCTCTTCAGAATAAACACTCAAGAGCACAAATAATGTATTGATAAAAGACCAGCATTATTAATAGAGCTATTTAGCTGTTTCTGCATGGTGGAGGCGTGACAAATCTTTTGTTGTTAAGAACATTACCTGTGGTCTTCTATTGATTCATCACAAGGAGAAAATGAAATTACATTAAATGACTGTCTGCATCGTTCGTAAAAACCCTGCTGTCAGATAGTTTTCTTTAATAACAGTTGAATGTTCCAGTTCACAGTGCACAAAAGGGAAAATTACTCACCAAGTCTAAAAAGACTGATCACACAATTTTTAATACAATGAAACATTGCTGACTTTACAATACACATTTGACTTCATACAATTCGATTTTCAAATGACACACACCCTTAGATTTAATTTCCCACTGCGTTCTATCCTTAAGCGCTTGTTGGAATAATACATGCACACTGCAACATATAGCATCTCAATGTGCTCTCTCGGTCTCACCTGTCTCTTTAAGACAAGATGTTTTCCCTTCCAATACTTCAGCATCTGGAGAGACTGCAACGTGCTGACAATGTCCACCGGGTTCACTGCTGTCTCCTGACTGATTTCTGCACTCAGAAGGACAGGCAGATGAGGCATTAACACAAAGATACAACCTAACAAGCAAGTCAACACCACCACCATACAACAACAAACACAGGACTAAGCAGACTCAAACCCTGCAGAGGGCGTTACCCTGGCTTTTTGGATCATGCAGGGCCTGACACAAATGGCATACGGACATTCATAGTGCTTGCTGGGCTGCTCATTTTAATATGGCAGAATTCTTTACATTAAAACACGGGGATGTGACCATATGAGTAACACAAGCTATCCGAACCCGCCTGGACAGTAGTAAAATCCTTTGCATTTGAGAACATGAGGCTCAACAGATGAAAAATCTAAAATCAGAAACATATACTCAAAGGATACCGCTTCTTAATTCAAAACTCAAGGTCATTTGTAATCTCTCTCTATATATACACAGTTTCAAATCTGCAGGATAAATCCAGAAACAAAGTTTCCTATGAGCATTACTAACCACAGAGAAATAAACAGTGCTGAGTGGCATCAGTGACCAAGGACTTGTGAAGAATTTAAAACAAATGGGAAAAAAAGTCTGGTTGTTCACAATTCTGTAGCACAGTTTAAAATACTTAGAGGAACACAGATAAAGGGACAAACATGCAGAGAATTAACAGAATACCAGAGATGGAAATTGTGCAATAAGGAAAGCTAATACTTCTGTACAAATCCAGATCAGAAAAATAGCACACGTGTTTACAGTAAGACTGTGTAGGTCTATATCTGAACAAACATTGGATCACATGAAGTCTTTTAGTTGACAGGGTCTCATTACGTAGAACTATCTGTATAAATCACACCTACTGGTTTGGATAAATAATCAAGTAATTATCAAGGACTTTAGCCAGCAGCTATATTGTCCTGCAACTCACAACTGGCAGCCCACTGAAGCTCAGGAGCTGTGAGCCTGGCCAGTCCCTGGATGGGGGACCTCCTGAGCAAGATAAAGTTGCTGCAGGAAGAGGTGTTAGTGGGACCAGTAGGGGAAGCTCCCCCTCACAAATCCCCCCCCTGGCCTCTACCAATCATGGCCTAAACACTAATGAACTGGCTTCATCACTCTGTCCTCTTCCCCACTGAGAGCTGATGTGTGGTGAGCGTACTAGCGTGCTTTGGCTGCCGTCACATCATCCAGTAACTTAACAGAAAAATGATTTAGAACTTGCGATATTTGTTTTTAGAAAGAGTCGGCAAGCAGTCAAGTCATGCGTGTTTTTTTTCCTTATGTGGCTCAAGCTAGCTTTCTGGCCGGGACTCTCTACAGTGAGTCCAAGGAGGGACCCCCGTGCCAATGGGAGCAGCGAGGCCAGGTTTCGTTCACACAACCGTTGCATACGACTGAACAAATGAAGAGGGGTTTTACTGACGAGCCTTTGACCGAGTGGACTATTTTACAGAATATCATTCCGCCCCCTCACCTTTAATGGAGATCTCCTTCCCCTGGAAGTTGTGCAGGTAGCGTAGCAGCACCTCCTTCCAGTAGCTCCGGTAGCTGATGAGACCCAGATCTGAGAGTGGACGCTCCGGGGAGCCAACCTTCTCCTCGACTTTCGACAGCAGGTAACCTGAAAAGAATTAAAAGTACATGCAATCTGAGCATTACCGCATACCAAAATAAGAAGTCTCCAAAGGAACAGCAAGGTCTTGGAGAATACTCACTGAAGTCGATCAGCATCTTGCCATACCCCTGCCGCATGTACTGTGGCATTGTGAGAATGCAGGAGACATTGTAGTTGAGGAAGGAATTCTTCTCCTGCAGGACAGTGGGAAAGAACGTTTAGTAAACCTGAAATGTGAGCGGAGTTCTTAATCAACATCGACGTGTAAAGGTCCTTAACTGGAGTCATGTTATTACAGCAGTTTTAGATGCTTTATTGTCATAATCTGGTCTTTTATATGATCATGCTTAGAGAACCTTCTTCAGAAGGTGTATCCAGCTGTGGTCTCGTAGAGGGTTGTCACAGAAAACAGAGCCAAGGTTTTAAGTGAACCACTGATGGGCACAGAATTAATGTGATCTTTAACCACTGAAGGAAGACAATAGAAAACCTTGGACACAGGGCTCTTTAGGACCACACCTGCCCAACAGTCTAATAAACTGTACAAGCGTCTGCTTAAAACAAATAATTGGTACAAGGTGGGGGCAGCATCACAAAAAGCTTTGTGCTTCAGGCCATGCAAAGAGGCAACAGAGCACACTAAAAAAAAACTGTCAAAGCTACTGTAAAAAGGAAGTTGAGTTTTTACCTTGGAAAAGTATCCAACAAGATGACATCCTGTGTTGTCCGCTTCTGTCATGACATAAAACAGGAAGGGCTCCACGTCGTAATACAGAGTTTTATGGTCCAGGAACAGCTTTGCTAGCAAGCATAGGTTCTGGCAGTATATCTTTTAAGACAAAATAGTGACAATCGGGGCTACTGTTTAATAAATAAAACAGACTTTACCAGCTTTAACACTCTTCTACTGCCACCTGTTGGCCTCATGGCAGTAGTGCATTCTGGGTTTTACTATTAAAAGTAAACCCGAACTGTTAGCACTCGGTCTGTATCAGTGGATTGAGGAATTTCATTGTTCAAAAGATCCATAGGACGTGCTAAGGCCCCCCCAGTGCTTAGGGTGAATGCTGTTTCCATTCAATCAGTACCAGTTCGTCTTCTTACCCAGGCAAGGGCCGTGGAAAGCCAGAGAAGCAGAGAAGGCAATGGGGGCCGAGAGGATCGTCACCCTGGACTGGCCATTCCAGATTGCGAGGGAAACAGGATCATTTGGAACAGCCAATCAAACCTAGCCAGAGCACCTTCGGCAAGCCCCGCCTAATGACTTCAAATTATATAAGTTCAAGTTTGATTGCCCACGCTTAAAGAACCTGCCATCCCACTGTCCACAGTCCAGAATGCAGCCCGGTATTCAGACTGCTGATGGTCTCTTTACCTTGTTTTTCTTCCCGTCAACCTCAAACACCGATATCGCTCCCTTTCTGTAGATTTCGTCTCCAGGAGGGTGCTTCCACACGCACTTAGCCTTTCCCAAAGAAAAATGAAGTAACAGACAGTCATGGCTTTGCTTCCTTACACTGCAAACTATATTGGTTTTTCCCCCTCATCACATTTGCAGAGCTGTGCTAAGTGAAACCCTCTACCAGGCAGTAAAACAATAAGGTTGAAAGTACCAGCGCAGTACTAAGGGGGGGGACTATAAATGCTCTCAACACAAACAAAAACCTCCTATAAAGAGGCACAAATAAAGACAAAGGACCATCCTGTCTCTTTTCTGGAATCTCTGTCTTGTAACCTTAATAAGGTCTTTTTCTGCAGTTAGGAGGTAGTTCAAAGTAGGAACTGTAACTAAAAACTAAAAAACAAAACATTGGCTGTTCCAGACTAGCTGAGTGAAAGAACCCAGAGACCCAGAGATCCTGACATCATTCACAGGATGAAGAGCAGCCGGCCCCCTCCTCACCATGTGTCTGCGGAGGATGGTCTGACTCTTCATGTACTTGAGGCAGAACTCGCACATGTAGAGCCGGCCCAGGCGGGCATACTCCTCAGGGTAGGGGGAGTGGTACCAGGTGTCCAGCTCGTAGCGGCCGAACAGGATGGTCTTGATCATGTTGCTGCCTTCCGTGATCTGGCCTTGGAGCCTCAGCTTCTCCTGCGCACGTGGGGGTCAGGTGGGTGGGGGCCGTGGAAAAGCCAAAAAAAACAAACAAATGGAACCAGGAATTAGATCCAGCGCTACTTCTTTGTAAGATTCGGAAATTATTTTTCTGGAGGGGCAACTTCCCTATGATATAATTCTTCGATGAAAATGTCAAACTTATACTGCATATTTTCTCCAAGACTGGCAAGGAGCCGAAAAACCGCACTAACAAAGCAAACCGCATCCATGATGTACAGAATTTCCGTACAACATTACAATTCAAGAAGTTAATACTCTTTTCAATACCCTTGAAGATTTGCTGACTATTCTGCTACTCTAGTTCTGAAAGTGGAAGAACTAAAGCTTCTCTGTAAGGCAATCCTAAAAAATAAGTTTTTGCCTCTCAAATTCAGATTCTTACTAATTACTTAGGTCTTAATGCTCTCCCATGTGAAGAAGAAACATTCAAATATGCTCTAAACAATCAGAAAAAAGGGAAAACCACACCATGTTCAGAAAAGAAATTACCCTTAGCTGCTAAAAACTCCCCCTGGCTCCATAAAACAATGTAAAAACACTGAAATTTAAACCAAATTAGATTTCAAAGCAAAGAAAGAAAACAGTTCGATGTTCATTTAATTCATGTCTAATAATTGTATTAATAATGCACTTTTAATTAAGATGCACATTGATGAAGGTAGAAACAGAATAGCTTCCTTCCTGTATGGGTAACAGATTACCAAGAACAAGGCTATAAAAAGATGGATTTTAAGACAAGTGTATGTCAGTGATCACACTCAGATGCTCTCAGTTTATAGACTGAAGTGCTGATGCTTTTTTTGAACTCCTTGAGTGAGAGCAGAGTTTTTTGTTTTTCAACGCCTCTATGCTCGTTGCACGTTGACAGTAACTCTCAGTAAAAGCCGTCCAGGACGCTAGTACGACTGGCCGCAAGTCCTTGTGACAGCTGCACGAGACAAAAGATAGTTTTAATATGCAAACCTGTAACTGCAAATCAATCGCCCTGTGTCCTTTAGCCCAATAAACCATTAATTTTGCTCCAGTCAGAGACATAAGCTAGAATTTCATATTTTTATTTTAAATCCACAGCGACATTCATACTCAATATCGCTGTACTGCCCAAATAAAATATAACGGGCACTTTGTTTGCCCACAGGTTCAAAAGTCTGGAGGCTTTGCCCTACATGAAGCAGTAATTAAGGAGTGAAACAAGAGCAGGAAGATATGTCTTTAGCTCAGCCATCTTAACCAAAGAGGCTGCTAAGAGAAATTGCACACTGAAAGGCTGAAAGAAATCGAAAAAGGGAATGAATTTTCTCTCTTACAAGATCCTCCGATGCACGTGCCTGGGCTTTTCTAAAGAGCTCCAGGTCATAATCACTTGTGATGTTTTCCAAGAGAGGCTCTCTGGTGGTGCCGTGGGTCTGCCGGTGTTCCTGGGGAGGGAGGAGAGAGGGCAAAAGGGCAGCCAGGTCAGCAACCGCATGGTAACAAGAATGTGCTGATTGCGTTCATCTGTTCATCACGTACAAAGCTTTGAAGTGCCATAAACTTCTCTTTTGGGAAGCATAATCAATTCATTTTAGATTATGAAACGGAAACCAACTATAGGTTTCAGCGCACGCTAACATCTGCGCTGGCAAAGAGGGAACCAATAATATTTATGGTTATGGTTTTAGAAAAGAACCTTCAGATTTCCATTTAGAAAGCTCTACTGCACCTTAATAGCAATAGAAACCCTGGTCGTGTACTTATGAGCAGCATGATCCTTCCACATATTCTTACCATGTATTTCTCCTTCTGCTCCTTCAGGAGACCAGAGTTCCTCTTCTTCCTCATCTCCGTCACCTTCTCCTTGTACCTCATCTGCCTCTCTGTTGGGGCCTGGGCACCACAGAAGGTAATAAATTAAATCCGCAGTCGACAACAGGGAGCAAAAGGAGGAGCCATGTTTTCAATTCCACTCCCTGGTGAAGACCCCATGAGGCTGTGGCCCGAGTTCCTACCTGGTGGCGTGTGGCGTGTCGGTTGTTCTCATCCTGGCGGTGTGACAGAGTCCGGTCTTCCACCTGTTTGTCCCGGTTGGTGGCTCTCACCTGAAGACACAGAGTCGGCTGCTACATTAGCGCTGTGGTCTAAAGCTCCGAACCCGGGCCCGCCGGTTACACAGTGTTACAGTGTTAACAACGCGTCGCTTTGCCACGTGAGCAGCGCCACTGAAAAATGGTGCAGAAATGATACTGTTTTAACAAAATGAGCTGTCATAGAAGGCCTAATAATGAAAACTTAATTCCAAATTCTTTGAAAAGTGGGGACAAGAGAAAACCACAGTGCCTTGTGTGTTGCTATTAGTGGCAATTAAAGCCTGGGTTTAATGGGTGTGTGTTCCCATGAGCACTATTTCTTGCATATGAGCAACGTACGAGGACTTCATGGGGGTCTCAGTAATGGCATTACTAATACTTTAACTACTGAACATAATAAAAAAACTCATTTAACACATAACAGTTTATTTTTAAGCAGTTAACCAGTCAGAGAAGTCATCGGGGCTTGTGCAGATTAACCAACTCATCAGGAAGACTGATGGAAGCAGCAGCAGCTACATCCTTGAGACTTGCTTTTGATGAGGAATTACAAACGGGCCTGGGCATACAGTAAACTCGCATGTCATGCCACACTCACTGGCTGAGAGCTTGCACGCAGTGTTGCATTGCATTTAGCCTTTAGCATGAATAGTAGTAAGACGCAAAACTACTGCCTGAGCTGAGGGGGCTCTGGCTGCATCTGCCAGGTGTGCTTGTGCTTTTATACAGGTGTGATTAAAATAATGGCCAGGACAAAGCCCGTAAAGCAAATCAGCACTAACAGAAGCAGAGCTAAGGGAGGAGTCCCAATAAAAAAAGAACACCTTATCCAGTTATCTCTTATGTTCATGTGCTCAATTACATGTGCAAGAATGCCTGCGCTCACTAATTCCATAAAGAAAAGTATTTCAGGTACCTTGCATTCGTCTGCAGACAAGTTGTGGTAAAGGGGACACCCAGATATGGAGAAATGTCTTTCGTGCTTCCCCGTCAGATGCCCTGAAAAGGAAATATGGTCATTGCATGGAAGGGGAAACAATAGCAAATGAGATTTAATTTTAAACAATGCCCCTAAAATAAAGGAAACTTTGCGGATATTAACAATAGTAAGAAGTAACAGACTCTGCCACAGTATTTAAGTCGCATTGCATCGCATCGCATGGTGCAAAAAGACATGTGACAAACTTGTCCAAAATATTATTTTCTTTTCCAAAAAGGACCAATGGAGGGATGAGAATGAACCCAATGTGAGAAGAAAAGGGCAGAAGTCTTCTGCAGTGTTTAGGAGCGAGCGGCGTGCTCGTGTGGAACAGCGCTCGGAGAGTCTGAGGAAGGGCAGCCGCCCCCCCCTCACACCCTGACGGGCTGAGATTCGGCCGAGGCACAGGACCGCTGCGGAGGCGTGGCGGAGTCACCCGCGGGGTGTGCCCAGACCCCACGAGCGACCAGGGCCGCGCGGAACAGGCCAGCCGCGAGAGGAAGGGGCCAGGGGAGGCGGTTACCCAGGGAGTTGCAGCCCGGCGTGGGGCACTTCATGTTGAAGTTGTAGCTCTCGTGGAAGCGGCGGCGCTTGGGCCGGTGGGAAAGGTCGCTGCCCGAGTCCTTCAGCGACACGTCCTTCGCCAGGCTCTCGTCGTGGGAGGCGCTCGGGCTGGAGATGTCGATGTCGGACTCCGAGGAGGGCGCGTTCCCGGTGGGGGTGCGTGGCGGGGACTCGTCGTGGTCGGCTGCGTGCTTCAGGTCTACAGAAGAAAGGAGAAGGCAACACGTTCATGGATCACCACAAACACAAGAGAACAGGCATCCCGGGCACTGGCAACCTAATATCCCTCAAGTCGTGCTTACCTCTCCAGTTAGAAACAAGACATCATGGCGTGTGCTCGCTTCCCCTCTCTAATTTATTGGAGAAGTAGCCAAGAGATATGCTGGCAACTGAAACAATTTAGAATAGTTACATGGCAGTGGCTGTCAAACCACAGAGCATGTAATAACGTATCCGGGGGAGGTTTAAACAGGAAAGAAAAGGTTTCGAGCAGCGCGTTCCACTGCTACTGAATATCTTCAACAGCAAGGAATGTTTTTACAGAAAATCCCACTACTGTCGGATCCACAGACCAATAGTCTGTAAATGGCACAGTAAGTACTTTTGGAAGATTTTCTTGTGTTTGCTTGCTACTGGAGACCTCTTGTGGTCTTACAAGGCTTTAACCATTTATTCTGTTAAGGTCTATAGGAGTTGCTGGGGCATCTGTAAGATTTCCAACTATTTAATCCTATTTGAATTGGCAACATTAGGTTTTATTAGAATCAGGTTTTTGAGGGGGATGGCCTGAAAACCATTATAGGGTAGAGGGCAAAAGTATACAACATTAAAGTCACTTATGGGAAATACTAATCTCAGTAAATAAAGATGAGGGAAAAAAACTCAACCAAGCAAAATAGCCATGAGCTTCAAAAATATACACCACAGTGTTAAGTTAAAGGTTTTTTCATGCATCTTTTATCTTTAAAACAATACATGTAGAAATTAAAGTACCCATTTGACATTATTGTGCTTGCTCTGAATAGACCATTGAATTATCCACCAATAAGCTATCTTCTGCTTTCAAGAATTATTACTCTATGCATGCCCTCCCCGAACACCTGTCACATGAGCATGTCAAAGTTGTGCTATCAATACTATGCTCTCTCTGTAAATGGGGGGTATACCACAGATAGTACAGAAATGAGGAAAGAGGGATGCTATAGAAAACGTCTGGCAACAGCTGCATCATGGCTTCACATGCCAAAGTGATTCAAATAATACCAGGAGGAAAAGCAATTGATTGTTGAGTTTGTGCACTTAACCTCTTTTTTTGCAAACAGCTCCAACAGTATAAAAATGCATCATGCATTTATGAGAGTAAACTGAGTGAACCATGTTAAGGTTACTTTTTCCAAGGTTCCAGAAAACCAACTGTTATAGTTTTTAAATTAAAAAGACATCTTTAGCCTAAGTGTTTTTTGATGAAAAGGAACAGGTTATTGACAGTCCTCAATTTACTGTGATCAAGGAGGAGCTTATAATTAACTACTTTAATCAACATCTCCATCATCTTGGAACAGCCCACAAAAGCTTTTACCAACCATCAGAGCTCCCATTATCAGGATTCAAACTCCAACACCATGACAATCACAACAGTAACTTTAAACGTCCCATATCAAACCATCTTCATTCCCTTTTATATGCATATCTGCGAGAGTTTACCATATTGCAGCACCACTTTGAAGATACTTGTAGAGATTGTATAGATACAAAACTTCCTTCGTGCTTTTAAGATTACTTGTACCATCAGATAAAACCAGTCTGAACTATTATGTTTCTCACACTGATGTGTGTGACTATTTGCAAATGCACAATTGACCAGGTCTGGGTGCTTCGGAGATTTCCTAGTGGCATCAACAGGAGTTAGTAACATGACTTCAATTGGAACCATAACATTGCAGAATGGAAAAGTTTCCATAGTATTATACATCTTTCCCTCACAGTCTTTTTGTTGCCATTTCAATATTTCAATGCGTTTTTTTGCCCAGAAGGTTAGTGCAGGGCCTCTGAACAGCACTGAAAAAGTGACATGGGATCAAACAAAAACAGGAAATTATTTTATTGGGAAAAAACATAACAAAAACATGAAATAGTGGTCCCAGCCCCACCCTCTCCAAATTATGGACAAGACATAGCATCATGAGGAGAAAAGTTAAAAAAAGGAGAATTATTTTTAATTTTACAGGCAGCATACTTAACACAGATGCACTACAAACTAAAAAAAAATCAAGAGACAGCAAAAGCAAAGCAAGAACTCAGTTCTGGGGATGCAAATGACCAATTTTAAGTCGAAAAACCTCGAGGCTAATGCATTACCGAATTAGAACGCAGACTGGGAAATTAGAAACCAAGACATCTGATGTCAGAAATCAGCGCTGGGGATCTCAAAGACAGAATACCCAGGGACAAAAGGAGAGTCTGGATCACACACTCTAAGAGTCTTTGTTTGGGCTTTCAGAACAGTATTAAAAGGCAGCACAGAAAACCATAAGCATGAGAACAAATACAAGACAAATCTGAAATGCACTTCTGAGGAGAGTGTACTGAATCTGAAAACCTCCACACTTCACAAAAGCAAGCAGGTGAAATTAAGAAACTACCCAAAAGCCAACTCAGTGTTTGATGTGATGGAAAATGATACACAGGTTTGACTGACATAGACCCATTTTGGCTCTCAAAAACAGCAAACAACAAATACCTATGACATCATTCATCTGGAAAAAAAACCATCATATCACGTGGATATCCCTATGACAAGGACAACACAGCAGATGACATTACAACTTTCTCTCTCATAAAGCAACTCACGTCAGCTAAGAATGCTAGCTGATCTCCTGATTAAATAATCAAACCTGAAACAATTACTGTATTCAGTAATTCTGTTCTGAAACGGTCAAGAGACTTTACCCGAACTACAAGAAAAAAAAACTTAAAAAAACACCATTTTGGTAGAGGAGAAGAATTAAAAGGGTCCTATTAAACAAATTCTTTCAATCAGACAATTAAAAAACCAGCAGACTCTGGGTTCTGCTGTATCAGGGCAGAAAGCCATGGCCTAACCATGCCTTCTCAATCCTTAACTATGATCCAAATATGAAACGTTCAAAAGAATCAAATTTCTACCTAAATGTATCCACTGTAATTCCCAAAACCACATCAAAATCAGTAATTCCTACACATCAGCTGAAATAAAAGCACAAGGGGGGCAATACGATGAAAACGGAATCAAGAAAAAGAAATCAGACAAGCGTGCTGGGTTAAGATTACACATACTCACAATCCTATCATCACACCATCAACGTGTGAAAACCTCAAGCACAAATGACGTTATTCTTGCTCATTCAGAATGACTGACACATCAAAACTTCTTCTCCTTCCTCACATAAAGCTCTGTGAACCCTCACTGGCCACATTAACTTTGCCACCAAGTACACTCAGTTCTAGAAATGTGCAGATTTGCAAGAACAAATCCTACCTAAAAAGCTTTTATAATCATTGGAAAATAAAATGATCACACAAGCCAGGAGTCTGGAAAGCTTTTGGCCTTTCGCTGAAAGAAAGGGCGAATTCACAGCAAAAACATTAGGAGTTGTCTTTTAACAAAGCCCTGACCCATGTTGGAAAACCATGCCACTTGAAAAAAATCAATCAGAAACTACAACCACATAGACTGGGGTTCGAGCACTCCCGGGAGGAAAGAAACAAGCAATAATAAAGGGACCAGAATGAAAAGCCACCTTTTTTAACTCCCAGAAATATTTAATTGAAAGGCTTCCACAAAAAAAAAAGATGAAACTGAGCTTCTTCTACTTTTGAAGGGCTTTACAGTTGGATATTTGAGCTGCCTTTTTTCTGGGATCGGTTGCAGAATTTTTCAGATTTTGGTAAAAAAAAACAGATCCCATTTTCCAAGAACTCTGCTGCAGACAATGGCCTGAGTGCCAAGCCCAAGCCCACTTTGGACTTTTTACGCAGAACATGTTCTGAGATCTCAGTTAAGCCAGCGGATTTCTTATGGAGCATTTAATAGGGAGTAAAACAATAAAAAAAAGTGAAACTAGTTCAGTTCAGGAAATAATAAAAACAGGTTAACAGTTCTTTCCTTTTTTCAACGATAAGAAACACTGCCCTGCAAACACTGATCCTGACTGTCAACTGCAGTTATCAAAATAAAGATGGCCTCATTATTAGAGCTCATTTAAAGTGTCCGAAGGAAATTTTCAAATTTCAACGTGTGCCCAAACTGAACATAGCTCAGAGGATATCCTATGCAAAAAAACTGGACACTTGCTATGTGGACTAGGAAAAAGGACCACAGTTTTCCAGAAACACGTTATGTAGCAAGGCTGTTTTCCCTGATCCCTGCTGTAAAGGTTACTTCTACTGCTCTGTAAGATTTTGTCAATTAAATTTTTGATGCAAATGAAAATGCACTTCGCCGTGTCCACAACATTTGCTTTATTGTACAACAGGGACGAGCTGTTAATTGGACGACACTAATCTGCTCCAACTATGAATGCATTTAAAGAGAATCCCAGGGGAAATCTGCTTCAAAACAGGCTAGAATAAAGAACACTGTGGTCAGGACACTCCCAAGTTAAATTAGGAATTTCAGAGATTCTATGCTCTTTAACACATGAACAATGCTCTTTAACACAATAGCAAAAGCTCTAATAAAGTAACAAAGCTGAGAAACTCACTCTTCCCTTGATTACAGCATCACAATGCACTGATAAATCAAGACGGATTTTAAAGTTCAATAAATTTATAGGTTTAGCGAGGGATGTGCCGACACCGGCATTTTAGAACTGAACTAGTTTCTTTTTGTCTCACTTTAAAAAAAAAAAATACTTATTTTGGTTACAAAAACAAAACAAGAAAAAATAAAAGTGAACGGGACAATTTGGGGGATCAAGAACTGAGTTCTGGAACGGTAGAGCTGAGAGACTGGAGTATGGAGCGGACTGGACTGGGGTGACAGTGAGGCGCACACTGAAGCCCCGTCTCCTACCCCTGTCGGAGAAGTCCATGGCTTGCTCCGTCTCCGATCCGGAGGAACGGCTCTGACGCAAGGGGTATTTCTTTGGGGTGACTGGCGCCCCCTGCTGCTGGCTACGGGTCACACGCCTGGTGCAATAGGCGGCATCATCCGAACCCAGGGCTGGCAGGTTCCGAACTGGACTGGAATCTAAAAACAAAAGCCTTTACATTTTACAGAGAGCCACAGTCTTCTGCTTCCAACCTTAGGGATTAAAGAGGGACAAATGTCAGCGACAGCTGGGGGAAAAAGTCAAAGACGAAAAAAATCCTCTAAATAGCTCATTGTTTTTAAGGGAACTATTCCAGTCCCCAGGAAGTTAGGGAGCCAGAGATCCAAAAACAATTCAAAGGTTAAAAAAAACACAAGCCGCTGCAGCGAGAGAGTAACTCCAGAAAGCTTCTTTATAACTTGTAGACATCAACTCAACACTAAACTAGACATTCAACACAATTTCCAAGTAGTGCTAAAACGGAAGATCTAATGAAGATTAAACATGCCTTTGTCTTTCACAGAACACTACATTCTGGTAGGAGCCCAAACACATAAAAAACGGATTCAACTGTTGGGTGGGACCCTGAAAAAACTAGTCACCCCGATAGTTCCTATCTGCTGCCCATTTTCTGGTCTATCGGCTACAATTTACTGTCACAACTGCTGCAGCAAAGAAAGAAGCCTCTTTAGTCAGCCGAAACCCAATCTAGAAACGGCAGGCTTTTGCACCGAGTCTATGCTGCATATTCGGAGGGATTTGCAACTGTATTATAAATCTTCACCATCAATACCACATGAAAAGGTTTCAGACAATAACTGAAATGATTACAGATGTATATTAGAAATGCTCTCTAGCATCACATGATAAATGTTGCTAAAAAGCAAGACAAATAGGACATTTCACTTCAGTTTGGAGCACAGGACGAATACCAGATCTTATTGTCAGGTATATTATTTACATGCCACGCTTTTTAGATATTTTTCCCCAAGTTACAAAAACCCATGGACCTGGAGAACTTTTATGCATGAAAAGGATCTTTAACAGCATAATATCGACCAGGCGACTCAAACGCAATAAGTTACCCAAGTTCATTTGATCTGGGCCAAGAAAACTGAGGCCAAAAAAAGGCCTCTTATTTTCACTGACCACCAATGAAGCAGAATAGATGTACCCTACAAGAGTAGGACTTGGAACCCCAGCCTATGCACCTCACAAAGCTCTGCAAGGCTGTGCCACAAACATCGCATGACAAATGACTCTCTTTATGGGAAAGATCTTCCTAACTCTGCTGCAAAGACAGAATTAAGAACAATGTTGACAAAGCAAAACCGCTGAGCAGTTAGTCCTATCCAAGGACTATACATGAAAAGGCATGTCATCTCAAATAACTTGCTTTTCAATCTATTAAACACAATGCAGTGCAACTGCAGAGCTCCTATTGTTTCTTTTATAAGAAACAATGTTTCTTACAAAAAGGGGTGTTTGGGTGTTGACGTGGAACTACATGTACTTTACAAGTGAGGGATTAGGTGCCTGAAATACAAACCACAGCTTTGTTTCCCACCTTTGAGCAGAAAACTCCAGATGACTCTTTTGCTCCCCACAAAACACGTACTGTGACTTACTAGTTTCCAAAGCACATTCAATCATTAATCCCAAAAGTCAGGTAAGGAATGCCACTGTACTTCAAGGTACAACTCATTAACGAATTTTCAAGAAGAGAACATTCACTTTTCAGATGCATTTCAGAAGCACAATTCACATCCCCTTACAGAAACTCCAATGGCAATTCTCTAGCCATCGGACCCTGCCTAGCAATTTGGGTGCCTTCAGTTCGGCGCACAGCCCAATTCGCGCCGTGCCTTCCTGGAGCGAGCTCTGTCGGGTCGATTGGTTCCCCCTCAAAGGCAGCCGGGCCCGGCGGTACCTTGTGAGCTCTGGCTGAGGCGCACGGAGGCGCGGGTCAGGCGCGTGTTCCTGCGCGAGTTCACGTCGCTCTCCGAGCTGTCCGTGTGCTCCAGGTCGGCAGAGAAATCCGAGTCCTCCGTCCCATCAGAGCTGCTCCCTGCGTTCCTCTACACCAAAAAAAGCATGGTTAGCTATACAGGTATATCCACCACATTCCCATTTTTGAGTTTTAAGAACTTTATTTTCTTTTCACAAATACAGGGAATCACAAAATAGAGAGCTTTACATTAATATACATACTTAAAACAGTATATATGATCACATCTCATTAAGTTTCAACACAGTAACAGTTACATAGCAACAATTTATCTTGTTCCGATGCAAATCCCACTCTTTACTTTAACATGACATCGTTTTTCACAGCGTCTTGAGATACTGTCCTCTGCCCTCTATTTCCCACAGGTTTTCTGCTTCCTCCCTCCCTTCTCTCCACACACAGTTAATAGTTCTCTCGGGTAATGGACAGGGCCAGGCTACCTGCTGCCTCGATGCCTCGATTTACACTGGTTGGCTTGGTCAAATGGCCACCTCTTGTTTGCTATATTTCTTGTGTTCTAATCTGAATGGAAAGCAAAATCCTCATGTCACCTCCTTCAACACTGCGGTCTCTCAGTGTCACCATACTAGGGCACTAGTTTGGAAATTCTTGTCCAGAGGTTAGTGTTACCTACTGTACAACTGCCGTAGCACAAAACATAGCACCTGTTTAAAATGAATGCACGATAGTGAGAGAATAACCCGTTTAAAGAATTTTGCTTTAACATTTAACATGAAGTGCCTCCTTATGTCACGGTGTCTTCAGACCCGAGCGCACAGGGCGAATTTCTCTTGGGTTCGGTCGATTCGGATCAATGTTTTGGGTGTCAGCCTCTGCAAGATTGCCTAAATCTTTCCAGCAGCTATAATTTAAACACATTCATTCGTCATAGTCGGACTACCGCTGCCCTGTTAACCCAGAACTAAATTTTAATAAGTGACCAGAAACAAGAGATAGAAGCCTGAATTTTATGGTTGTAGCTCCTGAACATCTATATTCAGAGCAACAGAGCGAATGTAAATATGCAACGATTTATATATCCGTTGCCGCTCAACTGACTTGATGAAATAATTATAACAAAATAGTTGATCAAACCCAGCCAAACCAAGAGATCTAGAGATATGCGTGGCGAGTCTACTGTATGTTCTATACAATTTAATTTAAACCATTAACCATTTTATTTTTATTCCCACATTCTTGGCCAAGCCCACTGCGACATCCGCATTGAAAACAGGTTCCATCTCGCCTTGCCTAGGAATAAACTAACACATCGCCCTGTATTAAGTACGTGTGGTGCAACTGGAATTTGTGACCGGTTGGTCTCAAACAGTAACAACAGTACATTGTCACTAATGGAGTGAACCGAAATACTCAGCACAATGGGATTGTGGGTAGCGGTTACCACGGTAACCGTGTAAACGAATATGGCCTGCGATTTACTCGCCAATAGCGTACACAAGAAAGACACTCCCCTAATCCGAGAACAAGGATCGAGTCCAGAAAGCCCCAGCGGAAAAGCACTTATAAAGTTCCGCAATTACCAACGGGTGGAGAAAGGGAAGTTTTCCTTCTTTGTTGTGCCAGTGCGTTCAGAGTCCGCAAATTCAGAGTGAATCATTTCACGCTGCAAAAGGTCCGCACAACTCACACAAGAAGTATTCTCCCAAATACAGAGGGGAGACTTCACGTCATGTTTACCGACTGTAATCTGTTTTTACCTTTCCTTACTGAAATGCACAACTTGTTCAGCTAATGTTTGGCCGGAAGAGCAGTATCCTTAGCAACACAACCCCACCCGGATAGATGTGGGCGTCTAGAACCCCCCCCCCACCACCACCACCACACACTGTAACAACCAGCTGCTGGGAGCACAAGAAACACGCTGCCTCCGGGAGCTGCTCACTTCCGCCCGCACCGATCCCAGAGTGCACCTTTTGCATAGATGGGTTAAACGAGGTAGAAAACGCTCAGGACAGAAAAAAACAAACGTTTAGTGGTCACCAATCACGAATTCCATAACTTGTGCATCCTTTCCGCAAAAAACAAACCACCACCTACTACAATAACGGAACCCCGCTTACTCCATAACAAAGGCTCTTCCTAGCAAAAGGAGCCAGTTACAGCGCTCCAAAACACACCGACCAATCAGGAGAGATCGAAGGCGGGAGTAATCCTTGACAGGCAGCCTCCAGCACCAATGAACAAGCCCCCCAGCCCGCAGATCCACCAATCCTAACACAGCTGGCGGAGGTTCCGTTCTTATCCTCAGGCCCCGACTGCAGCCTCGGCTTCTAGTAGTTTCCTCAGCCGCGGGGGCGCCAACTGCGACCAGCCGAGCAAGCCAAGATGGAAGCCGACGGGAGGCGTGTTTTACGATTTTCTTCAAAATATTTTGAATCCCCAAGTTGTTTTTTGGGTGGAAATGCCTAAATGTAAGCGTCGGCGAAGACGAAACGGGATACAATTTGCACGTAAATTCCCCAAAACAAGGCAACCATCTTTAACACAGCCCTGACAGTCCTGAGGGCTGTGCAAAAGGCTTTTTGCCCATGACCATTAAAAATAAAACAATTCAGGCGTCTTCAAAGACAGATACATTCTTACCTTCCTGCGGGGCATACTTCGTTTGGCGGTAGTGCGGCGTTGATTTTGCGAGGGCAGCAGTGAATCTCAAGGTCGATAAATGTTGCAGGTATTAATGGAAAACGCGCCGCGACTTCCAAAATTCATATGTACACAGAAGAGACTGGCAGGAACTCGCGCCACACACTGGCCACAGCTTCCCCCCCCCCCACCCGCACTTCCGGTCTACTGTGGCGAGGGGAGGGGACTCACGTGATTAGGTCTTGTTTGTTCGGAATCTCGGAAAGGAACATCGAGAGGAATATTTAGGCTAGAGCGACCTTGACGTAGTACATTAGGCGGCCATCTTGGTAGAGGTAAGACGAATAGGGGTGTATGTTCAGGCAGGTGGTTACTTCTTGGCTCAGAAAAAAATTTTAAGTCTTAAGTGAATATAAATTCGTGGAAAAATGATAAATGGGATTGTGTTCCTGAAGTTAACTATTATGTTGTATTGAAAACACGTCTGTTTTTAAACATAGGTACTGAATACTGCTGTCCCAGGGGTGTCCTTTGTACCCACAAATGGATGTTGTTACTCCCAAGTCTTTAAAGTGACAAAAATAGCACACTTGCAGTAGGAGTAAAAACACCAGAAACCCAAGTCGTGTACTGAAAATGACATTTTGGTAAACATGCTTTACAAGTCCAGATCCCAGAATTACCTACTCATAGCTCTACATTTGTCCAAAAAATTAGGTACCATCATCTATTTAGGCTAAGATACTCCATCAATACTCTCAATTCCTTCAAGCATCAGCTGGAAATATTTGACTTAAATATACTTATAAACTTACACGTGTGATCATGTATTGCCTATCCAAAATGTTGTGAATGTGTTGTTTGTGTAACAAAACCTATGCCTTAAGGAATAACTTTCATCTTCAATACATCATTTTGTTTACTACACATGCTTTTCTATAGAAGGTGCTGTCTTTTTTTCTTGGCCTTAAATCTGAAGCAAAATTACAAATATCGTCATTAAAGCAAAAGAACGAACAAGACGACTTATAGAAATGATTTATTTTAATTTGTATATACACACACACAATTGTCTTTAATAGAGTAAAATCCCTTTTCAATCAAGATAGCAGGGCAAAGCCTCCAGTGCAAATAGTCTGAAGGGAGAATCCAGTG